TTTTTTTTTTTTGTTGCAGTACTGGGGATTGAACTGAGGACCTGCGCTTGCCAGGCAAGCACTTATTCTACAGAGCTATCTTTCCAGCCCCTCTGTTTTCTATTTTGAAGCTGTGTTATAGTTGCATATTTTGTCAATAGATTTTACTCCTTTTTTATTGATTCTTTTTCGGTTTTTTCCAGTACCGGGGATTGAACTCAGGACCTTGCGCTTGCCAGGCAGGCGCTTATGCCACTGAGCTCTCTCCCTGGTCCCCATGGTGTTGTTTCTTATATTTCTAATTTGCCTTTTGTAAATACTGCTTTGTTTACTTTTGTGTCTTTTTATCTTAGATATAATATCTTACCAACATGCACCTTGTAAACTGCTGTAGTTGGATATTTTAAAACTGCAACATGTGAATCTCCTTATTTTAATAATGAATTCTTTAAGTAGTATTTTTTATGACTATCGATACTGTTGAATATCGCCCTACCACCACCACCCTTCAGTATGGGGGATTGAATCCAGACCTATTTATTCATTTATTTTTAAAATTTTGAAATGGAATCTTGCCTAGTTGCTAAGGTGCCCAGGCTGGGCTCAAACTTGTGATCTTCCTTCATCACCCTCCCAGAATGGTAACATTATAGGTGTCTCCACCATACCCAGCTTCGCCTGCTATCTTTTATTTTATTTTATTTATTTATTTATCTTTTTGTCTGCTATCTTTTAGATTAGTTGCCTTCTGTGTTATATCTTTCCTCTAGTGGATTGGAAGTAAAAGGTATCTCTTCCAAAATTATTTTTATATTTAATCTCAAAAATATATGTGTAGTTAAAAGTAATTCCTTTTGCTATCATTATTTAGACTTAGCTCATATCCGTCCTCTTCACTAGAACAAGAAAGAGGTTCGCTTGTCTCTTCTTGTCCCCTCTTACCAAAGGCTGGGACCATCAGTGGTTCTGGGGTTGCTGATTGCTGCTCCTCTTTAGAGTCAAGCCAGTGATCTGACCCATGTTTCTCTCTTACTCTCGCATGTCCGTGACCACAAATGCTTTTAAGTATTTTTGTTTAGATAGTTCCATAATAATGTGTGATGTATGATGTTTTTAAAATACTTATGATAATATTATACATTTCCTGCAAATTTTCCATTTAATATTGTTTCCATTTTTTTAATTTGATAAAATTTTCAATAGTTCTTTTAATCCTGGGTTATAGTTAATCCCTGAAAGTCTGGAAGTGTCTTGTTCTTATTCTCTTTAAAAGTCTTCAAGATTTTCTTTTCATCTTTGGTTTTCTAAAATTTCAGAGTATCTAACGGTGAATGTTCACTCAAAATTTTGTCATATTTGTTCTTAATGATACAATATCTGTCAGAATAATAATTACACCTAAAGTCTTCTATTTTCTCTTTTAACCTGTTTTATATACATGTCAGCTTTTTGTTTTCAAAAAAAGAGCTGAGCTCAGTACCTCTTCTTCACAACGTCGTTCTATGCAAGTACCTGACGATTGACTAGAACTCCTGCCCTGAGACGGGAACTCCATGCCAGCCAGGGCTGTGTCTTCCTTGTGCTCCCTGACGAATCTTTGTACAGGACTTAAAACTTATGGTTTGTATGTATGCAATGGGGCAAGATGTTCCTGTGATCTTCATATACAATAATAGCATTTCTTCTATTGCCGCCTGTAGGCTTGTAGTCTGTAGTCTGTCTTCCTGGATTAGTGAAAGATCACTCATAGGACATGCTGGGCTAGATGTGCCCATCTGTCTTTTGGCAACTCAATGCTGTTGTAAATTAAATTCCAATGATAAGCCTTGTATTTGTTATATATGTAAAATCTTCATGCTATACTTCCTTTCTTATTATAAGAATTTGATCTATTTACCCCATTATTTTATTCGTAATTAAAAAAATTCCCTTGAGACTGGAAATATAACAATTATGGTCAGTCATGTGCTGCTATATCTGAGTAACAGTCTTTCCTACCCCTTTGAAGTCCAGGTTAGTTGATACCTAATAAGCAAATTTGATTAACTTACCTATTGTGTAAAAAGTACTTCTGTTGTACTTTTCCTTCTGCTAATTTTGGCTATCTGTCCCCCAACGGAGGAAAGGCCTTTTGCAGTTGGGTAAACATGCTGTGAATTACTTGATTTTGTCCTTTAAGGACATTAGTGTCTTCCTTTTTGGGGGCATGACTGAGCAAACTCTAGACTCTGGCATATTTTTGACACATGAGGTGGTGCATTAACTATTTTTAGTCCAGTTGGCTAGAATTCTTTTCTAGTGGAAGTGTGGATTGCCAGATGGTAGTCTAAAAGAGGAAAATAGCAAATATAACCATGGTTTTCTTTCCTTGAACACTCACAGAAAAGTGGCATATAATTTTAGAATGTTCTTTCTTTCTAGCAATCATTCTCAACACTTTGAAGTGTGTTGCTTTTTGTCCCTTTTCTCCTCGCTCTAGCCAGGTTCACATGTTGATGAGCACTAATAGTTGTTTTTTTTTCCTATTTCACATTTTGTATTAGTAGTATATTTTACCTTATGTCTGTGTTTTTTCTGCATCAGCATTTAGATCCTGTGTATTAACCTTTTTAGCTTTGGACTCTAAACTTCCATAGTGTATGCCAATTTGTCACTTCATCTGTGGCCTCAAATT